AGCCATTTAAAATTTTTTTTTCATGTTTTAGTATCTTTGAAATAAATGCACCTTACAATCATTGTCAGCCTAGAAGAAACTGAAGTTCTTGCAGAAATTAGTGGCATTTCCTCTGTCTCCCAAGGTCAGGCCCCACTCACTTCTCTGTGTGAGTTTTTAGGGATGCTGAATTGGGCAGACCATCACCAGAAGCACTGGCTTGCAGCTCAGATTCACTAGCAAGGCTTTTTCCCCCAACTCATCCACCTAACACCAAGACCAAGAGCACTGCTGGCTGCCATTTTGCATGGTGAGTCTACATCTTGCTCTTAAACTAAATGTCCTAACTTCATGTGAGGTCAGCTGCTATCCACCTCATTTTGAAAATTTAATATTTCTTTTGAAAATTACATTTATTTGTTTGTGTATATGTGTGTGTGTGCACATTCATGCCACAGTGCATGTAAGGAGGTCAGAGGGCAACTTGCAGCAGTCAATTCTCTCCTTCCACCATGCAGCTTCTGGGGATTGTCAGGCTTGGTAGCAAGCACTGAGCCATCTTGTGGGCCCCTAATTTTTTTTTTTTTAATTTATTTAGTCTTTTTGAAACAGGGTCTCCCTGTAGTCCCAGCTGGTCTGGAATACACTTTGTAGACCAGGCTGGCCTTGAACTCACATAGATCTACCTGCCTCTGCCTCCCTAGTGCTGGGACTATAGGCGTGCACCACCACGCCTGCTTTTTTTTTTTTTTATTTTAAAAGTTTGGGGCTGGAGAAATGACTCAGTGGTTAAAAGCACTTGGCTGTTCTTGCAGAAGGCCGGGGCTCAAATCCCAGCACCCATATGGAAGCTAACAACCAACCTAACTCCATTCCAGGGGATCTGATGCCCTCTTCTGCCCTCCGCAGGCACTGCATCACATGGTGCACTTACACATATGCAGGCATAACACTCATACACATAAAATAAAAATAAATAATTCAAAATAAAAAAGTAAAAGTTTAAAAAACTTTTAGGCCAGGCACGGTGGTACACACCTTTAAATCTCCGCACTTGGGAGGCAGAGGCAGGTGGATTTCTGTAAGATCAAGGCCAGCCTGGTCTTCATAGGGAGTCCAGGCTAACTGGGGCTACAGGGAGAACCTGTCTCAAAAAAACTAAAAACAAACAAAAAAAACCTTTTGGGACTGGAGAGATGGCTCTGTGGTTAAGAGCACTGTCTGCTCTCAAGAGGACCCAGATTCAGTTCCTAGTAGCTAACAATTATCTGTAACTCCAGTTCCAGGGAGTCTGACACGGTCTTGTGACCTCTGTGGGCATTTCATGACTTGAGTGCACTTACATACATGTAGGCAAAACACTCATATGCATAAAAATAAATAAATAAAAATAATTTAAAATTTTATTTGCTGTGTGTGGTGGTATATACCTTTAGTCCCAGCATTCGGGGCAGAGGCAGGTGGATCTCTGTGAGATCCAGGCCAGCCTGGTCTCCATAGTGAATTCCAGGTCAGCTGGGGCTACAGGGAGACCCTGTCTCAAAAAGACCCCCAAAAGGTTTTATTTTTACTTATTTATTTGTATTTTTTAAATATTTTATTATTTTTATTTTATGTGTATATGTGTATTGCCTGCATGTAGGTAAGTGCACCCGTGTCGTGCAATGCCCATAGAGGACAGAAGAGGCTGTTGAATCCCCTGGAACTGTAGTTACAGACAGTTGTTAGCCACCACGTGGATGCTGGGATTTGAACCCTGCTCTTCTGCAAGAACAACCAGTGCTCTTAACTGCTGAATCATCTCTCCAGGCCCCTATTTGTTTATTTTTATTTCACGTGTATGAGTGTTTTGTAGAACAAGACCCTATCTCAAAAAAACTGAAAAACGAAGCCCACAAGATAGTTTAGCAGGTAAAAGCACTTGCTGTGCAAGGCTGACAACTTGAGTTCCATCCCCAGAACCCATGGTTGAATCCTGAAAATTGTCTCTGACCTCCACACACACACTGTGGCACACATGCATGTGCACTTGTACACATATACCATATACACACTAATAGTAATAATTATTATTATAATAATCATTATTATAAATAAAGATTTACCAGTTTAGGGCTGGAGAGATGGCTAAGAGGTTAAGAGCACTGGCTGCTCTTCCAGAGGACCCAGGTTCTCTTACCTGCACATGCTTCTGCCTCCTTAGTGCCAGGACTTCAGGTGGGCACTACTATACTCACCTTACCCATTGTTTTTCTAGCAACGTAGTTGGGAACAGTCCCTGCCTTAACTTTAAGGTCTATCTCGGGTCAGATTCAGACCCCTCTGCACAGCCCGGTACTGTCTCACTTCTGGCTCCTGTGCCCCTCCTTTCCCTGTTTCCTCATACTATGGCCCATACTGCCCAGTGTCAAGGGGGGCCCATCTCCTCACTGGTGTCCATCCCTTACCTCACCTCCCATGGCAGAAGTTGGGGCTCCTCTATGCTATATTAAAAAGAAGTTTAAGGCCGGGAATGATCATACATGCCTTTAATTCCAGCACTCGGGAGGCAGAGGCCAGTCCCTCTGGACAATTTTTAGTGCACATCTCTGATGCTCATGAACATGAACTATCCAGATACTTACAGTCCCCAGAGCATCAGAAATGATCTTCACCAGCCTGCTCAAATGGTCAGAGAGATGCCAAATTGTTGGGAGCTATTAATCCATTATGTACATAAGCTGTGGCAGGCTTGTTTACTGAGTTTGTGTTTTGCACACCAGTACCTAATCTGCCAAATCAGGAGGAATGTGTTTATATGGTGGAGCTCACAAAACAAGTATTTGACCGCTCCTTGACCCTCAGATACATGTGGGAAAAACAGCTGTTGAAACTAATTGAGTTCTTCTGTATAAAAAGGCAGAGCTGAAATAAACCGGGGCTGCAGTCTCTACTGACAGTCCTCCCAAGTATCTTTTCTGTCTCTTGTTTTTTCTTTCAATCCTCACTCCCCTTTAAGGTACTGTCCGTCTTGGCCGGCTGGCACTGGCACCAAATCAGCGTTGTCATTAGCTATGTGTATCTGTGTGTGTGTGTGCATGCACTCGTGTGCATGTATCTTCGTGCACATGCAGGTGCACTTGTGTGTGTACAGGTGGAGGTTGGAGGACAACCTTAGCGTCCACCGCCTTTGAGACAGGGGCTCTCACTGGCCTGAGTTTACCAAGTAGGTGGGCTGGCTGGTGAAGGAGCCCTAGGGATATGCCTGTCTCCTGCCACCTCAGCATTGGCATTACAAGCCCATTCCATAGTGCCTGGCTTTTTTATATGGGTTTTGGGAATTGAATTCAGGTCCTCATGCTATGGTGTATCTTGTCACACACAGTGAACATGTATGAATGTGGGAGACTGGTGAGGATGGGGCAGAGCCAGGCTGAGGATACAGCTCACTCCCACACTTACCTTCAGCAACTTCCAATGGGCCTTGGGATTTTCGAAGCTCCTTTACAGTTTCCAAGAACTCTTTGCCCCCAGCCTTTTCCAAGGCTTTGCCTGCAAAGGAGAACAGTAGAAGTAATGGTGGGTGTCCTTTCAATAGAATTGTACAGTCAGGCATGTTCTTAGTAGACCAGGAAAACCTTAGAAACTTCCCATTTGTTATTCTGGTTACCAGTGGTTGTCAGTGGCAGGGCTGTCTGGGCTTCTGTTTGGCAGACTCAGCTCAGCTTTGTTAAAGGACCTTGTTGGGGTGATTTGGACATGTAGCAGTCTCACAATGTGAATCCTCAAAGTGATTTGTTTGTTTTGTTTTTGAGGCAGGGTCTCAACTGTGCAGCCCTAGCTGGCTTGGAATGTATTACGTAGTCCAGGCTAGCCTCAAACACACAGAGATCACCTGCCTTTGTCTCCTGAGAGCTGGGATTAAAGGCATGCGTCACCATGCCCTGCCAAAAGTTATTAAACAAAATACAGTTTTTGGTGCAGCTTCAGTACCTATATTGACCGTGGTCTTGGTCCCACCAGTGTGCTATAAGTCCTTGGCTTCAGGGGACACACAGGCAGCCTGGCTCTTCCCTTAACTTGGTTCTCAATTTTCTTTTCTTTTTTTTTGGTCTTTTTGAGACAGGGTCTCCCTGTAGCCCCAGCTGGCCTTGAACTCACAGAGATCTGTCTGCCTCTGCCTCCTGAGTGCTGGGATTAAAGGCATGTGCCACCATGCCTGGCTTATTTTTAAGAATTTTATGTGTATGAGTGTATTGCCTGCATGCATGTAAGTGAACCTGTGCTATGCAATGCTCAAGGTCAGAAGAGGGCATCAGATCCCTTGGAACTGGAGTTATAAACAGTTGTTAGCTGCCATATGGGTGCTGCGAATTGAACCCAAGCCCAGGGGCTGGAGACATAGCTCAGTGGTTAAGAGCACTGGCTGCTTTTGTAGAGATCCTACATGGTAGCTAACAACCATCTGTAACTCCAGTTCTGGGGGAGCCAATGCCCACTTCTGACCTCTATGGGCATTACACAACATGGGTACACTTACATACATGTAGGTAAAACACTTATACAGATAAAAAACAAAAACAAACAACCCCCACATCCAACATGGCATCTGTTGTTTTATCAACTTGATACAAACTAGAGATACCTGGAAAGAAGGAACCTCAACTGAATCCTCCATTGGCTTAGTCTGTGGCCATGTCTGTGAGGCATGTTCTTTCTTTTTAAAATTAAAAAATATTTTATTAATTAAAAAAATTTTATGTGTATGAGTGTGTTGCCTGCATGTGTGTAAGTGCACCTGTGCTATGCAATCCCTGGGGAGGTCAGAAGAGGGTGTTGGATTCTCCTGGAACTGGAGTTACAGACAGTTGTTAACTGCCATGTGGGTGCTGGGAATCCAACCTGGGTTCTCTGCAAGAGCAGCTAGTGCTGAACTGTCTCTCCAGTCCTATGAATCATTTTCTTAGTTGTTAATTGATGTAGGAGGGCTCAGTCCACTGTGGGTGGTACCATATGGTGGGGGGTAGGTGGGCTGAATTAAAAAAGTAGCTGAGCAAGCCAGGGGAAGCAAGCCATTGGTCAGCTTTCCTCTGAGGTCTCTGCTTCAGTTCCTGCCTCCAGGTTCCTGCTTTGGTATCCCTCAATGAACTGTGAGCTGTAAGATGTAATAAACTCTTTCCTTTTCAAGTTGCTTTTGGTCAGTGTTTTATCAGAGCAACAGAAAGCAAACTAGAACAACACCCATGTGGAAAATTCCACTCCTAATTTTACGTGATACGTCACTGTCCAAACTCAGGTATACTAAAAATACTGTGTAAAGTTACCTCAGGCTGTGTGTGAGACAGATGAGGGGGACCCACCTCTCTTGGGGTCACTGGGAAGGTGTTAAGCGTTGCTAAAGCACTGTTAAAAATCTGTTGAAGTCATTATTGGTGTTAAAGATTTTTTTTTTGTCTTTGTGAGACAGGGTCTCCTTGTGGCCCCAGCTGTCCTGGAACTCATTATGTAGACCAAGCTGGCCTCAAACTCACAAAGATCCGCCTGCCTCTGCCTCCCAAGTGCCGGGATTAAAGGCGTGCGCCACCATGCCCGGCAAGATCTTTTTTTACTTGAGACAGGGCCTCACTATGTTAGCCCTGTCTGGCCTGGAACTTGGTATATAGACCAGCCTGGCCTTGAACTCACAGAAATCTGCCTGCCTCTGCCTCCCAAATGCTGGTATTAGAAAAGATGTGCGCCATGCCCAGGTGTTCTTTATGTTCTTAGATAAGCACTCCTTCTGATGTTCAGAGTGACTAAACAAAGACATCAGGGATGGGGCAGTTGATGTCTGCCTGGTGGCTGTTGGACTTTCCCATGCTTTTCCATCATTTGCCCTGAGCAAAAGGGTTGTCAGTCAAACAGCCAGCCGGATTATCCTTATCCTAACACTGGTTGTTTGGAACACTTCTGGATGCCTAGGGAAAACTGCCCAAGGATTGCAGCTGATTGCTCCAGCTCCTGAAAACAGCCACATCCAGGGCTGTTTCAAAGTATTATACCAGAATGTTTGCTGTCATAAGCCTTAGTGAACTCTGAATGACCCTGAGACCACTTCTACTTAGGCTAGAGAAGGCACACTTCCCCTGATAGCTTAGCACAGGGACTGCTGTGATTGGTGTTCAAGAGACAATGCTACGATTGGTGCAAGCAGAAGCCTTCATCTGCATGAGAGGTTTATGGTGGTTTCTATACTCCCCTCTCTTCTGACAATGTAGGTGGACTGTTCAACTCACTTTGGTGGGTGTCCTAGTTTGTTTCTTCATTGCTGTGACAGAACACTCTGACCACTACCGACTTGGGGAGGAAAGGGTTTATTTATCTTACATCTCCTGGGTCACAGTTCATAAGGGAGCCCAAGATAGGAACTCAGGGCAGGAACCAGGAGTCAGGAGCTGGAGCACAGGCCATGGAGGAACACTGCTTACTGACTTGCTCTCCTGGCCCCTGCTCAGCCTGCTTTCTTATGCAACACAGGTCCACCTGCCCAGGGGCAGCACCACTCACAGTGGGCTGGGCCCTCCCACATCACTCAACAATCAAGAAAATGCCCCACAGACATGGCCACAGGCCAGTCCAATGGAGGAAATTCCTCAATTGAGGCTCCCTCAACCCAGGTGTGTCAAGTTGACATTAAAGCTATCCAGCACAGTGGGTCAGTTGGGAGTCACCCTCCTGTGCTATCTCCCCCAGTGTTGCAACATTCAGCCTAATAAAAGTCTTTTTTAAAATTTTATGTGTATGAGTGTATTGCCTGCATGTATGTGCACCATGTACATGCAATGCCCATGGAGGCCAGAAGGGGGCATCAGATCCCCTGGAACTAGGTTGCTCTGAGCTGCCATGTGGGTCCTCTGCAAGAACAGCAAGTGATCCTGCCGTTGAGCCCTTCTCTAGCCCCATATAAGGCCCTCTCAAGTGGCCTTGCCTACTTTTAGTAACACAGCCTAGTCGGTAACATGAGAAAAAACAGCAGCTGAGACAGTGGAGTGGCAGCGGCAGCCACAGCTAAGCAGTTGGCAGGCAGAGCTACGAAAGTGGCAAGGCGCTGGCTGCCTGACAGCTGCAGGAGAGCAGCAGGGTTGGAACCAAGGGGACAGCGGAAGCAGAACTAAGACAGGAGCTGAACAGAGGCTGTAAAGAGCCAGAGAGGGGCTGGAGAGCTGGCTTAGCGGTTAAGAGCACTGGCTGCTTCTGCAGAGGACCTGGGTTCAGTTCCCAGCACCCATGCAGTAGCTAACAACCATCTGTAACTCCAGTTCCAGGGAATCTGATGCCCTCTTCTGGCCTCCATGGGCATTGCATACACATAGTGCACTTATATACATGCAGGCAAAACACTCATATGCATAAAATAAAGTGAAACAAAGAACTGTAACGCAGGGCTAAGGGGCCAGTACCAGTACCCAGGGTCCAAGGAGGGCTGCAAGCCCAGAGAGGGCCAGGAGCTGCTGTTAAACTCCTAGAGATACAAACACTGAGGCAAATACAGTAATTCTCTAGAGGTTCTAGTATATCCCACAGAGACAGAGCTCATGTGGCCCTCAGGTACAGGACAGCTGACTCCCCAAGGACTAGCATGTATGGTGGGCTATGCCATGGTGCCCTCCCAAATCTTAGGGCCTTACCTATATCTTCTTTGAGGTCAATTTCGGCTGTGGTTGGGTGGACAATGCCCTCCACTCTCATGGAGCCAATATGGCTGATGTCACTCTGGGTCAGTGATAGCTGCGTTAGAAAGAAAAGTTGAAGAGAGGAAGCTCAAATCCTACTGAGAATCTTCACAATTTACTCATTATCATTGCTTTTCTCAATTACTCAGACTGAGGGTCAACATAGGGGTTGAGTCTCCCAGGTGCTTGCTTTGAGATCAGGCTTCATGTACCCCAGCCTGGCTTGGAACTCACTGTGTAGCCAAGGCTTGCCTTGAACTGCAGATTCTTCTGCCTCCACCTCCCAAGGGCTAGAATTACAAGCCTGTGCCACCAATGCCTGGACCTCAGGTGTTTGGATTATAGCAGGCTCCTTTGAGGTCAGCAGTTCTGACTTCCATTTTGAGGCTAGCCAGCACGCAACAAGCCTGCCTCCTGTGCCAGGGATGGAAACCAGACCTCCCTTTCTCTTTCTTTCCCTCATCATTTGTGGCTTTTATTCCCAGCCATGGTGGCCTTGGTTTCCATCGATACATCCTCTCAGTAGCTCTGTGTGGGAAGAAGCCCAGGCCTTGCTCTCCTCTCTGCCCTGCAGTAGTTCAGAACACCTGGGGCAGGTGCTGCACACAGTGATCTTGCTGCGTTGGCAGGAATGAGCTCTGGTTGCCAGCCTGCTCTTGCCTTGTGGCTTCTCCTCCTCCTCCTCTTCCTTCTTCCTCCTCTTCTTCCCTCTTCTTTCTACTTCCTCTTCTTCCTCCTCCCCCTCTTCTTCCTCCTCCTGCTTCCTCTTCCTCTTCTTCCTTCTCCTCTCCTCCTCCCCTTTCTTTTCCTTCTCCTTCCCTTCTTCCTCCTCTCCTTCCTCCTTCCCCCCACCTCTTCTGCCCCCCCCCCGTCCTTCTGTGTTATGGATGGAACCCAAGCCTCCTGCATGCACTCTACCACTGAGCTACACCCCCAGCCTAGGACCACATTCCTGGGGCTGCCTTTTGCAGTTTGCAGCAGAGTAGGAGGAAAAGCACATCTTACTGCTTCTCCAAGTGAGCAGGAACTTTCCAGTTCCCTAGATAAGTCTGAGAAGAACCTTAAGGCCCTGGAGGGAACAGACGTTCCACATCTTTGCCTCCCTCATCTCTTTCACCATGGATGAATTAGGAACTGGCCATGTCCCTGCTCCTTTTAGACCATGCCATCCCCAGATACTGAATGGAGGTGAGCTTGATCTTTAGACTGAGAACACTCAGTGGTCAAAGATATGACTCACTGACCATTTTGTGTATCTTATTTCAGTCCCAGTTGATTTGGTAGATAAACTGTCTGCTCAGTAAACTTTACATACATGGAAATGAACTATTTGTGTGTCCTGTCAGTGAATCTGTCCTGTTAGTTTTCTTTCTTCAACCCAGGAAGGCAAGTAGATGGGATTACTGGCAAATAATTCATTTCTAACTCTGGGCCTATTCAAGGAACCTATATTTCTATTTTCTCCCTTTGAAAAATGACACTGAATCATGGAAGCAAGCGAGGCCTCTTGGAGACTGGCAGTTAGCTATGGATTTTTCATGGTGGGTGCAGGCATAATTGGGGCTTGGATTTTGCAGCTGAATCAGTAATATCATTCTATCTATTGATTAGAATCTCCAGGTTGACATTTGGCTGAACAGCGTCAGCTCGAGCAAGGGCTGGTTTGCTCTCACCATGAGGAAATCACCATAGCTGTTCCATTTAAAAACGAATAATTAAAGACAAGGGTGAAAGTCATTCAGGGGTGCATGGGATGAGGGAGGGATGGTGACTTGTAAACAACAGGCTCGGAAAAGGTCACAGAGGTTTACTGCAGCCCAGCCCCAGGTTCTTTATTACCTTCTGCCCTAGCATGAGGCTCTTCGAAGACAGGATGGTGAACCCGTCCCCTGGCCCATCTTCAGAGGTGGAATTTGATGTTCCTTCTTTATCGCTGTCCTTTGGTTTGGACTGTGAGTAAAAATCAGAAGGACAGATGAGGAACCATACATAGAGCCCCGTGTGGCTGCATTATGGTTCTTCCATGGCTGCCACCAACTGGGATATGACAGGAAGTGGTCAGGTGGTGTGCTGTGTTATGCTGAATGTTTGCTTTGGTGCTAAGGACTGAATGTGGGGCCTCAGGCATGTGGGCATGTGCTCTGATACTGGGTAGGCAGACTCCTAGGCCCTCTTTGCTCCCTTCCCCTCCTACCTCCCCTTCCTTCCATCTTTATAGCATCCAAAACAAAAGATTTCCTTATGACATTTTCATACATATATATCTTTGTACTTGGCTCACCCCTCCACTATTCTCTCTGATGTTTCTTCCTTTTCTTTCTTTCTTTTTACTTTATGTGTATGACAGTATTGCCTGCATGTATGTAAGTGTACCCATGTCATGCAATACCAGAAGATGGTGTTGGATCCCCTGAAACTGGAGTTAGTTACAGGTGGTTGTTAGCTGCCATATGGGGGCTAAGGACAGAACCCTGGTCCTCTGCAAGAGCAGCCAGAGCTCTTAACCACTAAGCCATCTCTCCAGCCCTCCTTTTCTTTGTTTTAGGGCAGGGAACTAAGGATTAAACCCAGGGCCTCACGCATGCTAGGCAAGTGCTCTAGTCTGTTGCCACAGCCCAAGCTCTTCTATTTTTTTTTTTCTAATTTTGTTTGGAGACAGGGTCTCCCTATAGCCCCAGTTGGTCTGAAACTTGCTATGCAGACCAGGCTGGTCTCCATCTCATAGAGATCCACCTGCCTCTTCCTCCTGTAAACTGGGATTAAAGGTGTGCCTCAATGAAGGCACATCTGTTGTTTCTTGATGAAGGGAAATGATGCAGCAAGATAAGGCAAAGAAAAGGATGCTGAATAACATGATATGGTAGGTCCATTCTGAGTGCCTGCTTGGCTTGCATGATGCCCTCAGCTCTATCTCTAGCACCTCATAAACTAGGCATGGTGGCACACAACTGTAATGCTAGCACTCAGGAGGTGGATGTAGATCAGAAGTTCAAGGTCATCCTCAGCTATAGAAAGAATTTGAGGCCAACCTGGGATGTATGAGACTGTCTTAAACAAACCAAACCAAATAAAAACCAGACCCCCATAACATCATAAAGATTAGTATAAGAGCTCACATGCCCCTGTAGTCCTTACCCAAACCTAGATAATAGGTACATTATTCTTGGCTGTTTATGTTAACCTGTCTACAATTTTCTATGCTTGGGGTTTATTGGAACAAGCATCTGCGCTAACTGGCTGGTCACAGAGAGCTACTACTGGACCTCCCCTCTTCCCAGGGCCAGGTGGGAACTGGTGGGAACTCTTGTATGATCTTTTACATCATCTGGAGGTCTGTGGAATGACAGTTTTACAAGCTCTCAAGCAATACTGCCACCATTCAACAAAAGTATCTGTGGTGGGAATGCCATGTCTCTGCCATTTGGGGCTGCTGAGTGCCTGAAACGTGGCTAGTGCATTTGAACAGTTAAATCTACGCTTGGCATTATTATTACTGCTGTCATTATTGTTGTTGTAGTGCTTGGGATAAAACCCAGGGCCTTGTGCATGCCAGCAAATGCTCTGCCACTGAGCTATTTCCCCAGCTTAATCTTAATTCAGATTTCAGTAGCCACATGTGACTAGTGGTTGTTGTACTGGACCAAATATGAAAATGTTTCTCCACAGGTGGCATTATGGAGCTTAGCCACTTGGCTTAGAAGTTGCACAAAACACCTGAAATCTATTGACCAAACACAGGGCACTATGTAGGGGAGCCTGGAGATGGCTTAACACCCAACATGAGCTTCGCAGAGAAAAGAGAAGCAATATTCCAGGTTAACATCCCTCCTGATTTTAGAGGGGGCGATGTTACAGTTTGGCTCTTAAATGTCCTTCAAACACTGTGGTGAAAAGTTTCAGAGGCAGCCTATGGTACTGTGGGGAGGTGGTGGACATTTAGGATGCAGTGCCTAGTAGAAGTGAGATCATTGGGTGGGTGGACTTAAAGGAGATACTAGGACCCCAACCTCTCTCTCTCTCTCATTACTTCCTGGCCACCATGAAGTGAGCAGCTCTGTTCTACCAGATACTCCCACCATAATGTTCTGTTTTGATGTAGGCCCAAAGCCATAGGACCAGGTGAACAGTACCATGAGTCATAATGAACCTTTCCTCCTCAGATATTGAATCTCAGTGATTTTGTTACAGTAATGAAAACTGACTAACACAGGTAGTAAGTAAAAGGGAGCGGAGGACTGGGAGTGTGACTCAGCAGGAGAGTACTTGTTTAACATGCACAAGGCCCTGGGTTCCATCCCAGCTCTGCTAAAAAAGAACTGGATCTGAAAACCACCACTCTTTGGGTTTGGAAATGTACAGCATGCCTTCTTTTGAAGATTTGAGCTTTAGTCTCAAAGGTTCTTTATTCTTCTCTCTATACCCTCTCCCCCCTTTTATTTCCTAGACTGAGTCTTACTGTGTTGCTCAGGCTGGCCTCAAACTTGTAAACCTCCTGCCTCAGTCTCCCAATGCTGGATTACCTGCACCACCTTCTCTGGCTCACCATAACACATTTGTATCACTTTCTCCCAGTGGCCTGCTGCAGAGTCTTCAGTCTTTTGGAATTGCTGGTGGGTCATTTCATTTAGCCTTCCCTCTCATTATGTGAGTGTCTTAGCCCAGTCAGCCTGCTATGAGAAATAGCACAGACCAGGTGGCTTTCAAACAACAGAAATATATTCCTCATGGTTCTGGAGGCTGGCAAGCTCCAGGTAAAGGTTCTAGCAGATTCTGTGTTCATCAAGAGCCTGCTTTCTCACAGGTGACACTATATCACCCAGTCCTCAAGTAGTGGAAGAGGTGAAGCGGCTGTCTCAGGCCTCTTGTAAGGACACGCTGATGATGAGTGTTAAAAGCCAATCTGACAGGCTCTAGAGTCACCTGGGACATGGGTCTTTGGGCATGGCTGTGAGAGAGTCTCTTGAATTCGCTAATTGAGGTGGGAAGTCTCACTCACTGTGGGTGGTACCATTTCCTGGTAGGGATCCTGGACTGTGGATGAAATGGAGGAAGGAGCTGAGGATTCATTCTTCCCTCCCTGCTCCTGAATATGGATGTGATATAACCAGCTGCTTCAAACTCTGCCACCTCGACTTCCTGAACTGCATACCCTTGAACTGTGAACCAAAATAAACCTTTCTAGAAGTTGTTTTGGTCAAGGTATTTTATCACAGCAACAAGAAGGGAAACTAAAGGTCACTAACCTTGAGCACGAGGGATGTGCCCCTATGAGTTTCCCACTTCCCAAAGGCCCCTTCTCCTAATCTCATCCCTTGGGTTAGATCTCCAGAGTGGGGTACCCCACTCTATGCAGTGGGAATGCCCAGCTCCTGACACACTCCCTGGCTCACCTTCTTGGATGTCCGTGGCTTGGCAGCCTTGGATTTCTTCCCTCCCTTCTTGCCAGATGCTGCCTTCCTTCCTCTCTTCTCTGGGGGTGGGGAAAGGATGGTCTCTGACTTGCCTTTGGTCCCTCTCTTTTTGGCCAGCAATTCGGGGTGAATTCTGGGCAGGACACCTCCACTGGCGATGGTCACTCCTTTCAGCAGCTGAGAGAGAAACACAAACACACTCATATGGCAAAGAGCTGGCGTTTTATACAGTTCTAAGCATTAGCAAAACAAGGCTTGGATCTGGTCTCTGATTAAAGAAACAGCCTAACACAGTGTCTCCGGCTTGTCTGTGTTTTGCCTGTAAAGCATCTCTCTGTAGGTACCAAGGCATCCTGTGGTCTTACACAGAAAGCAAAACAAAACAGAATAAAGGAGTTGGAGAAGGGCTAGAGAGATGGTTCAGTGGTTAAGAACACTGGTTGATCTTGCAGAAGATCTGGGTTCAAATTCCAGGACCCACATGGCAGCTAACAACTGTCCATAACTCCAGTCCCAGAGGATCTGACAGCCTCTTCTGACCTCCACGGGCATTGCATGATACAGGTGCACTTACCTACATGCAGGCAATACACACATAGACATTAAAAAAAATTATAGCTTGTCAGATGAAAGGATGAATTATGGAGAAAGTTCAGTACAGAAGAAGTAGAGATGATGGAAGATAGAAATAGGGAGGAAAGGAGAGTTAATTGTAGAAGAAATCCAGTGGTGAGGAATCCGAATGCCACTGAACACATACATGTGAAGGTAGCTTGTGCCATCCACTGCCCAAGGGTGAGCCCGCATGTAAAGTGCCATTCCCTTATTTGGGACTTAATGTTTGAGAGCAATGGCTACCTCAAAGAGTGCAGTTTATACACAGGTCTAACCAGAGTCAGTGAGGTTCTTCACTGTCAGTCACCTGTCTCAACTGAGATCTGTCCTCCACGGGCATTGCATGATAGAGGTGCACTTACCTACATGCAGGCAAGATACACATAGACATTAAAAAAAAAAAAAAAGTTTAAAGGAGTTGGAGAAGTTGAAAGTGGGATGCTGCCCAGAGCTCCAGAATTCCAGATGACAACAGGGCAAAGGGCCACACATGTGGAAAGCACAAATGGTCAAACCTACGTTCAAAGGTTAACACAAGGTGCCAGCCAGGGGCTTGCACGTGCTAACACACATCCCTTCAGTAACACACGTTTGACCCATGCACCTCCCAGTTGATATGTTTATTTATTTCAAATAATCAATCTACACTCATATATTGTATATATCCTGAACCAGTGGTTGGTCTGAACCCACAGCTTGACCACAAACTGCTAGACAGCCACTTGCCGAGAGCAGCACAGACAGCACCGTGTCTAGAGATATTTACAGCAAACTGGCAGCTGTTGTACCACTACTGAATCTGACAATCGAGGCTTGGCGTTGATGTATTTTTCTTTCATTTCTCTAGTGATCAATTTTTATTACATTTTTTTGGAAATGATCCATCTATGATGGATTGGCACTTGGAAGATACTTTAGTTTGAGAAGAATGAGATTAGGACATAAATCTAAATAAACATCTTATACTATTTTCCTGCAAGCTTTTGTATTCTGGGCCAGGAGGGCAATCACTTGAGTTTGGAGTCAATCAGTTCTAATACAGAAATAAGAACTCACCTATTCTGATTCAGATTAACAATCCACATGGTTTGGGTGAAGAAATTGATGGTAATATGTGCACTGTCCATTCCTCAGTAGCATAGACTTGTATTTAGTGAGGAAACAGGATCTTGAACGCATAGCAGGATCTATTCCAGAGGCACTTGGTTTTGGTTCTGAATGACAGAGCTGTTAGAATTCGCTGTTTTCTTCCCTGGTCAGATTGTGTGTGTGTGTGTGTGTGTGTGTGTGTGTGTGTGTGTGTAGATGGGATTGGGAACTGTCATAGGAATGACTGACAGCTGACTGGATCCAACCAGGATCATGCTTGTCACACCTATCCCCCTTGCTCCCTCTGGGGTGCAGACATACCTGGTTGAGCTCCTCGTCATTGGCAACGGCCAGAAGAATATGTCTGGGGGCTATCCGGGCCTTCTTGTTGTCTCTTGCGGCATTCCCGGCCAATTCCAGGATTTCCGCTGAAACAATAATGGCGGCGGGGGGGGGGGCAGGTGGTTAATAGCTGATTGCGGAACAGCTCTGTGCTGGAGAGCTTCAGCTGACACACATGGGAAGGGGCCCTCTCTTGGGGGAATTTCCTCTATCAGATTGACCTGTGGACATGTCTGTGAGTCATTTTCTTGATTGTTGAGTGATATGGGAGGACCCAGCCCATTGTAGGTGGTGCCATCTCTGGGCAAAGTGGTCCCGGGTTGTATAAGAAAGCAGGCTGGGGGCTGGAGAGATGGCTCAGTGATTAAGAGCACTGGCCATTCTTGCAGAGGACCCAGGTTCTATTCCCAGCACCCACACGGCAACTAACAACCATTCATATCTCCAGTTCCAGGAGATTCGACACCCTCTTTGGTTCTCCATGGGCATTGCACAACACAGGTGCACTCATATACATGCAGGCAATACACTCATACACATAAAATAAAAATAATAAAATATTAAATAAAAGAAAGTAGACTGTGCACATGCCAGAAGTCAAGCCAGTAACTTGCCTTCAGGTTCCTGCCCTGACTTTCCTCAGTGACAAACTGTTACTTGGAAAAGAAAGATGCAATAAACCCTTTCTTCCCCAAGTTGGTTTTGGTCAGTGTTTTTGTCTCAGAAACACCAAGCAAACCAGAACAGTGTCTGGACTCCACTCCTTTAGAAATGGCTTTGAATTTGAATTTGACTATATTTACTTTGTGTGTGTGTGTGTGTGTGTGTGTGTGTGTGTGTGTGTGTGTGTGTGTTGCTTTTCCTGGGCTTAGAAAGAAATCAAGAAAGCTGAAGTACACTCAGCTTACAGACATGTAAGGCACTTGAGCAATGACCTCTGGCAAAATCTTAGGTAGAAAGACTAACATTTCCCATGCTCCCTTGTTGGTGTGATCATGGGATTAAGTTCTGACCAATGGGAGACAACCTGCTGTGAATTCCTGGGACAAGTCCACAGAACAGCCCTTCTTCCCTTCTACTTCTGTTCTGGGGACATGATGGTCAGACTCTGAGCAGCCATTTGTGATCAAGAACCTGGGATCAAGGACAGGAGGAAACTGAGCCTCCTTACCAATATGGACTGTCTTTTTTTTCCTTTTGTTTTTTTTTGGTCTTTTTGAGACAGGGTCTCCCTGTAGTACCAGCTGTCCTGGAACTCACTATGTAGACCAGGCTGGCCTTGAACTCACAGAGATCTGCCTGCCTCTGCCTCCCAAGTGCTGGGATTAACCACGCCTGGCCTGGACTGTCTTTTTACACTTCTTATGCACAAGAGTGAAATCACCTCTCTTATTTAAGCCAGGCAGCAGAAATAAATCCTGAGCAGGCCAGAATTCAGTCCACAGAGGGGGAGGGTTGAGAATATAGGGATGTAGGTAAAGTCTGTCTTTGGTACTCAAAGAGACTACCTTTTATAATTCCCCTACCCTGCCTGATGTGCCAAACCCCGCACCCAACAAAGTGGATGGGAGGAACTGATTTATACTATGAAGAATGCTAGCCCTGAAAAGTCTAATTCCTAAAGATGGGCTTGGATATGAAGGCATATTGTAGTCGGGTGTGGTGGCACATGCCTCAAATCCCAGCACTTGGGAGGAAGAGGCAGGTGGATCTCTGTGAGATTGAGGCCGGCTTGATCTATATAGTGAGTTCCAGGCCACCAGCCAGGGCTACTGGGAGACCTTATCTCGAAAATAAACAAACAAAAAAAAAAAACCAGGCCAAAAAAAGAAGGCGTATTGAGGCCCAGGAGTCTTCAATATATCCCTCAGGAGGTAAGCATGATTTTAACGTAGGGCTACTGGGAGACCTTATCTCGAAAATAAACAAACAAACAAAAAAACCAGACCAAAAAAAGAAGGCGTATTGAGGCCCAGGAGTCTTCAATATATCCCTCAGGAGGTAAGCATGATTTTAACGTCAGCAAACATGGCATTTGGTAAATGTGAAATGCTTATAAAAAGCAATGTTGGCAAAGCTGTATATACTATTAAAATAATGAACTTTGTGGAATTGGTCCAGGTGTGTCCAGCCTGTGCTGTGTGGCAGGATAACATCATCTACATGGTTCCTGCTTGACAACCATGGAACCGAGTTACAAAACAAGCAAAATACCCAAACAGCAACAAAAAACATTCACACAATATAACTTTACATTGTTTCAAATCTTATTTTATTCTTATCATGTGTATGTGTGCATGGTATATGTATATGTGCACATGTGGTGGTCAGAAGACAACTTTGTGGAGTCCATTCTCTTCCATTTTTACATGGGTTCAAACTTGTGTTACCAGGTTTATCAAGTGCCTTTACTGGTTGAGCCGTCTCACCCACCCTAAAGTTTTTGATTTTTGTGTTGGGCTGCATTCATGGCTATTCTGGGTGAATATGGCCCCTGGGCCACAGGTTGGACACATCTGGTACTTTATACCATTTTTTTCTCTATGTCTTCTTATTTTCTTAAAAATATTTTATTCATGATTGTGTGTGTAATGTATGTGTGTGGGTGTGTGGCACACACCCACATGTAGAGACCAGCAGACAACTTTGTGGAGTTGGTCCTCTCCTTCCACCTTAACGGGGGTTCTGGGGATTGAACAAAGATAATCAGGATTACGTAGAAAGTACGTTTTCCTGCTGAGCCATCTAGTTGACCCTCTTATTATCTGTCTTATTTTGCTGTTTTTCTTTCTTCTTCAATTTTTATTTTATTGTTTTTGTAAACATTTGCTTTATTTAATTAAAGATTTTCTTCTTCTTTTCTTTTAGAAAGATGATCCACTAAGTCAAAATTGTTTGCTTGAAAAAGTGTGAATGAGGGTCTAGAGAGATTTCTCAGCAGTTAAGAGCACTTGCTGCTCTTTCAGGACTCAAGGTTGGTTCCCAGCACCCATATTAGGCAGCTCACACCACCTGTAACTCCAGCCCCAAGGGATCTGATACCCTCTTCTGGATCTGATATACATGACATACATTTACACAGACACACATACATACACATAAGTAAAAATTTTATTTATTATTTCTATTTTATGTGTGTGAGTGTATTGCCTGCATGTGTGTAAGTGCACCCATGTGGTGCAGTGCCTGTGGAAGCCAGAAGAGGGCATTGGATTCCCTGGAACTGGAGTTAGGAACAGTTGAGCAGTTAGTTGTTAGCCACCATGTAGGTGCTAGGAATTGAGCCTGGGTCTTCTGCAAGAACAGCCAGTGCTCTTTACCACTGAGCCATCTCTCCTGCTCATATAAATAAAAATAAATCCTAAAAAAAATGTGAATGAGCTCGGTGAGGTGGTGCATCCTTGCAAATCCCACCTTGTAGGAGACTGAAACAGGAAGATCATGAGTTCCAGGCTAGCCTGGGCTACACAGTGGGATGCTGTCTCAAACAAAAAAGCACACACACACACACACACACACACACAAATGAACAAAGATGAATGTGTTTTAAAGAAAGTTTTCTTCACTTAGAAAGCTAGAGGCAGTGGGCTAACATATTTCACTGGGAAGGGGGAAACTATGTGTTTGCATGAATTGTTTTTGTCCATGTGTGTTTTGAGGGCATCTGCTGGTCCAATGGCATAAATACTCAGCTCTGAAATGAACAGGCAGATATGCATGCGTCTTTACAATCAACCAAATAGCAGAGCACATGAAGACACTATCATTCATAGACTCGACAGCAATAGAAGAAACTTGGCATAAGCCTGCCATATGAATCGAGCAAATGTGATTAGAAAAAAAATCAGAATAAAACAAACATTAGAGTTAAATATTTATATAGCATTTCCATAGTGAAAAGTGCTAAAGAATTGCAAATCAGTTTCCATGTTTTTCTTAGAATACTGAGCAATGGAGTGTGTTTACCAACAGTTCACTGACACAGTGACCATGTTGGTATATGTATGTGTGTGTGCATGTGTGTGTCTGTGCAAGTGTGCGTGTGTGTGGGGGTGTATACACCTGTATGCAGGTGTGCTCATCTGTGCATGTATGTAGAGGTTAGAGGTTGAAGTCGGGTGCCCTCTACCACTCTCCACCTTACTTATTTTTTGAGACAGCGTCTCCCTGTAGACTCAGCTGGCCTGAAATCTGCTATGTAGACCAGGCTAGCTTTTATCTCACAGAGATCTGCCTGCTTCTGCCTCTGCCTCTTGACTAAAGGCAGAGTGCCACCACTCCCGGCATCACTTTACTTAAAAAAAATTATTTATTTTTATATTAGGTGTATGAGTGTTTTGCCTGTGTGAATGGAAGTGCACCCATTTGTGCAATGCCTGTGGAGGCCAGAAGAGGGCATCAGATCCCCTGGAACTGAAGTTACTGAGGGTTGTTAGCTGCCATGTGCCTGCTGGAAACTGAACGAACCCCTGTCCTCTGCAAGAGCAACCAGTGCTCTTAACCACTGAACCATCTCTCCAGCACCCTCCACCTTACTTTCTGAGACAAGATCTCTCACTGAACCTGGAGCTTGCTGTTTTGGCTAGATTGGCTGGCCAGAGAGCCTTAGGGATCCACCTGTCTCCCTCAACCCCAGTTTTGGGGTTACAGGTGTACACTAGTGCGACTGGCTTTTACAAGTGTTCTGGGTTTCTAATTTGGGTCCTCAAGCTTGTATAACAAGCCCTTTTCCCAGTGAATCATATCTTCAGCCCTGTGACCATGCTTTCGGAATTAAAGACTGCAGTTTGAGTTTGTAGCATTGCAGTTTAAGAAGCATGGACACACTTGCTGGGACAATGCGGCAGGAGGTTTGAAATTGATGCCACATTAGCTTATGTCACATTACCTATTATGTGGCATCAGGTTGATGCCCAACTTCCCTTTCTCATAGAAGTAATACATCATATCAAACCAAGCATAGTGGTGCACACCTATAATTCCAGCATTCAAGAGGATGAGGCTGAAGAACGGTGAGTGGGAGCAGCCTGGCCACAGAGTGAGATATTGTCTAAAAATGAAAGATCACAAAGAAAATCAATAGAGT